CGGGTAAATCAGCCGTCCAGTTTCAATACTGCTTGTAGATCAGCTGCAGGCGATATGCTGGTGGCTTTGATGCAACCGATGCGCTCATGTTACGCTTCACCTCGCGCAGCACACGCTCGATGCCGCCGTACACAGCGAACTGCGGCGATGTGTATCCTTCGACTGCGCAGTAGTCGAGCAGCGCCATAAGGCATCCGCGGCCAACCTCCGCGCTCTGTGAGAGCACGCACGGGACCTCTATGTGGCGCAGCGTGTCGCGGCGGCCACCGACGCCGCTGTCGTATGCGTCACCGTCCACACGGCGCTTCGTGTTGCCCTGCCGGCGGAGTGGCGGNCGGAGCGGGAACGTGGCGGCGACACACTCGCGTTACTCCGCGGCGTGGTGGCGTGACGACGGCGGCTGTTATTGTTGCCGTTGCCGAGCGTGTTCGCGTAGCGCGCCTCCCATGCGTCACCGTCGCCGAGAGTTGCAGTAGTAGTAATAGGAGAACGAACGCCATCAGTGTAGGCGCCATCAACGTACATGCGGTTGTTGGAGAAATGGGTAAGCTCTACCGTGTAAGAATGGATGAGACTACCACCAAAGAGGACGCGTGAGCTGCCTTCTTTGCTTGTCATATGACCGCGACCAAAGCGACACAGCTGGTAGGAGAAGACATCCTTCGCGTGCAGACTCACGATCTTGGGGAAAACCATGTTCCAGTGCTGCACTGTGACTGGGAGGCAGTTACCAAACATGAACCCGCTCGACTGTGAGGCATGGGAATGAAAGTCCATGTACATGAAGAAACGCTCGCGAAAGGTCTGTTGCAGGTGTTCAAAGACCTTCCGCAGCGCATTTACGGTAGGCTGTGTCTGTGGATCAGGGCAATTGTAGCAGCGATTGAGGTTGAAGCCATTTTGATCAAGCCGGGAGTGTCCACGTGAGACACCATCAGGGTTCAGCATGGGCACAATATAGAAGACGAAATGGTCCCGGATTAAGGTCGCATGTGGGTCGTTTGAGAGGAGGAATGAAATGGCACCATGAATTCCGTGTGACGCGGTGACTTCACCAGGATGCACACGACTGCTTAACAAAACCACTTTCTTGCCATTTTCAAAATGTGCGTATGGACCAGCGATAGACTGCCGCAGAGTACCACTGCCGTCGTTGCCGCGCCGCTTTTGGGGTATCTGTGAAGGCTTTGGAGTTGGGCTTGTGATGACCAAGAGATGCAGCTTGCGCCCATCCTGTGTATGACACAAGACACGCTCCTCGAATCGAATACCACACATACTCTTTTTGACGAGGTGATGCCAGTGTGTGATATGGCACAGGAGGTCGGCGTACGTGTATGGAACACAGAATGCGACATGCACCACATCGCGAGTGCGGGGGACGACAACAAACGTCAATTCCCCATCTGCCTCGTTGTTAATGGTGCGGTACACGCACTGCCCAACGGGTGTCCACTGCAACGGCGACTGCCCCGCCCGCCAGACCGGCCGCATGCCATTCCGCAGATACAGTTTAGTGTTTGGTTGAATATTAACAATCCGTAAGCCGATGGCGGAGTGCGGCCGTACACCAGCAATAGCGAAGCGAAACCACAACCTCTGCTCGCAACCTAAATCCGGCTCCATCCAGAGGTTGAAGGTGGGCTGAGGTGCTGCGTCGCGTGCGCGCTCCACCCGCGCCAGATTACCGCCCTCCATGTCCGAAGAAAACAACAATCCCTCGTCCTGGAAGCGGAACACGCGCTGGTGTGACGGCGCGGCAGTTCCAAGTACGAGACCCACCTGCTGCTCCCACTTCTCCACAAATCCCGCGACACCGCCCCAGTGAGGAAATCGGTCCAGCACAAAGACAGCTGCCTGGAGAATGGGGTGGCGACTGGGGGACAAGTACGGCACTGCTTCACCCCCGGTGCGGGGGCTGCGTCCATCGACCCGTGCGCAACATGCTAGAATGGCGCCCACAACATACTCCTGCTCTGACAGCCACCTTTCCGCCTCTTGGTAGTCCAGAAAGAGCGTGGACGCCAACGATCGCGCTGCTGTGCAACACGGCGGTCCACGCAATGCCCAACGACGCGAGGACGTGCCACCAGACGAGTGTGGCCGCTCCGCCTCCTTGCACCAGATCGGCGATGATAGCTGCCCACACATTGTCGCGAGCAGTGCGTCGTGTGGTTGCTGGCGTTGGTGTGACATCGGTCTTTCGTAGTCCATAAGCCCAACGTAATCTAGGCACCGCGTGAGGACGATATCATCAACAAACCACAACTTTCTCTTCTCATCTAGGAAAAAGGCATCGTACAGGCTCAAGGTGCGGCAGACAGAGTCCGACATGCCATCTGGCAGCGATCGCTCCCCAGGTCGGTGCTGGTGGTGGATCTCACGACGCGAAGCCGATGATGAACACGAGCGATCACGCCAGACCCTCCGCGGCCGCCCACGCTTCGACCGAGGGGTATGGAAACGTTCTACAACAACACCATCCACGCTGTCTACCGCCTCAAATGTGGAATCTGTCGAAAATAAACCATTTTGGTGTGCCTCGCGTGGGACACTTAGCCCTTCTCGGTTACCCATATATCGCTGAACTGCCTCCTCTTCGTCCTCCTCGTCGTATGGTGTAAGCCGCTCCGTGTCGTCGCAGAGTGGTTGCTCCTGCTTCAGCCGTTCCCTCTCCTCATCCTCATCCAAGTCTAGCAGATCCTTGGCGTGAGGTGTTTGGGCAATGCTAGAGTTCAAGCTAGAGCATTCGGATGGGATACCAGAATTGGCCCCCTGTCCACCGCAGGCGCCATCATTCTCATCTTCCGGCGACGAAGGGGACGGAGACGCTGACTGCTGTTGCTGTTGCTCTTGTTGTGTATTCAACAAGTTATTTCTAACTCTCACCGTCGGTGACCGATTCCCAGAGGGACGCCTACGTGCGCCAGACGGTCTAGGTGTGGGGCTTGCCGAATTTGGCAGCCCATCTTGTCTACTGGCGTTCTCAAAGAGGCGCTGCAGCAACGCTCTGCCGCCATTCCCACACCCACCGTTACCACCGACACTGCCGCTACCTCTCCGCCTCCCACGCCCGAGGGGGCGCGGGTCCTCCTTCTTCTTTTTAAGGGACGGTGGTGGCTTCGACTGACGCACGGTGGTTGCCACACCACCACTAGGGATGCCGCTATTGCCGTTAATAGTGTTGTTGTTGTTACTCTTGTTTTGCCTCACCCCCATCTCATTTCCAACCCTGTTCTGGTTTCGCACCACTATGAGTGGCGAGGTGATGGGAGTGATTAATTCTATTTTTGAAGATGCCTTACATGCCTTTGCTGCTCCTTTTGTTGAGGAGCTCTTCTCTACGGAAACCGACATAAATCCTCCTTTCCTCGCAATCACCCACTTTCACTTTGTCAGCGGGAGTAGGTGCCTCCCACAAGCCAGAATCCCCCACACCCAAGCAGCGACAAGGAGAAAGCAAGCGAAGCAAACAAGCACAAAAAAGGACGCTGGACGGCACCGACCCCCCACATGCGCACACGCAAGAGGGAAGAAAGAAGGAGCCAGACTCACCCATCGAGAAGGAAATGGAAGCGCAAAATGGGATTGGGGATGGAGAGGCACCAGACAGAAAAAAAAAAGAAAGAAAGAGAATGCGTGAAGTAGGAGCCGTCTGCACTGAACCAGGGCCGCATACGACTCCACAGAGTGTTCTCCCTTCACAACAACGCAGAAAGGGGGAAGACTCCTCTTTCACCGCACGCCTTGTATTGACCATCTCAGACGTTTATTTTTCTTTATTCACCCTCCTTCTCCTCCTCCTCCTCCTCCTCCTCCTCTGAAGCAGCGGCAGCAGCAGTCGGCGGTGGGCGTTGCCCCGGTGTCCCCGCGGCCCTCTTAAACGAAGAAGACCGTCAGAAACAGGCAGATGCCGATCACTCCGCCGAGAACGACCGCGTCTCTACGACGCTTGCTGTCGATGCGGCTAAGCACACTCTTGACGAGAGGAATACGCTGCACAATCTGCATGGCATGATCTTCCATGCGGAGGAACGCGTCACGCTGCGCCCGAAGTTTGTCGCGTGACGAGTCTGCCTGTTCGAGAATGCTGTGGAGGCGCCGTTGTGTGTGGCGTAAGGCATCCTGCTCCTCCATGAGCACGCGCACGCCAGCCCCCTCACGGTGCGTCTCGAGGTCGTTCGTGACGCTGGGCAGCAGCTCCGCCCACTCACGCCGCCGTTTAAAATCTGCCGCTATGCGTGCAACCGTGCGCCGCTTCTCCGCGGCGAGCTGCAGGAATCGCTCCGTGTGGGTCTGCGCGGCCGACTCGGGTGGCAGTGCGCGCGCAGTCTCCGCCATGGTGTCTAGGAGAGTCTCAAAGCGCTGCAGTGCCAGCTCCACCTCGACGCGCTGACGGTCAAATTGTTGCTGCGCCACCTCTAAGCGTGCCACAGTACTGAGGCCGTTTTCGCTGCTGCCGAACTCCTGACCACTGGGACCCGCGTCGATGTGAGCAACGGCCTCCAGTGCGGCAATCTGTCGCTCAATTAGGCTGTCGGCCTGCCGGGCATCGTTGCGCAGCGACTCCCACACCCGCTGTTTGCTCTCCATATACCCAATGCTAAACTGATATGCGTATGTACGTGTGTATTGGTACAACCCTATGCGTGTCCGCCCACTCCGTTCCGCCTCTCGCCCCCTCTTTTTTCTGTCCGTCTGTGTGTGTATGTGTGTGTGGTGGTGGGGGGATGCAGCTGCAAATGCGGGACACCAGCCTGTTTGAACCTCTGCTTACCTTCCCACAGAACTGTGGCGGCGAGAACACAGCTACTGCTTTCCTCGCTCTTTTTTTTTTCTCTTGTTTCTACCTCTTGGTGTTCGCTTCTGGCACTTTCCACGACGTGCTCCCCCGACTCCTCCTTTTCACACCAGGGCAGCAGCGAAGTCAAACTTGGAGCCGAGCACATCACACACATGCATTGTACAATTCCACACGCAAGCAACAGACAGTGTGTGTGAGAGAGAGAGAGAGAACGAAAAGACACAGAAGGCTTTTTTCGCTGTGTTGAGGAAGACACTCAATAGCCATGCCAGCTGACAAGGCACAGACACACATGCGCCCCCCCCCC